ACACATATTCTCATTTTCTAATGGTGACTGCTCACACCAGAGAGAAGGCCCATGATGCTATCCAGCACTGGCTCACCTGTTTTGCCGCTCTGGGCTTTCCTGACACCATCAAATCGGACCATGGATCTGCCTACACCTCAGAGTGAGTTCATAACTTCTTGCAGCAATGGAGTGTGACTCACAATACGGGCATTCCCCGCTCTCTCACAGGGTCAAAAATTGTCAAGTGTGCCCACAGGACGCTAAAAACCATGCTTGAAAAACAAAAAGAGGTGGAGTTGGAGTGCCCTCACAACAGACTAGCTAAATGTCCTCAGTTTTTTAAATCAGGATGAGATGAGACAGACTGCATGTGTGTTAGACAGTATTCCTACAACACAAAGGCTCATCTAAGACCTCCATGGCTGGTGAAGGATTACTGACTGGACAATGGAAAGGACCCCTGGACTTCCTGATGTGGGAAAGGGGTTATGCCTGTGTCTCCACAGTGACTCCATGCGCAGCAGGTTCCATAACGGTGTGTGCATCCTTTTGTCCCACTGTCCTGATCCCATGTGCATACAGATGCTACGTTATAGGCATATGTTACTGTTTCTAAAATGCTGTTGAAGTTATTGTTGTCACTGTTATTAATGTTTTAAGAGTTGTTCAGGTTTTTCTTAGAAGGTTTTCTTTGCCTAAAAACAAGAAGGGGGAGATGTGGAATATAGGGTGATATTTCCCAAAGTTGTTAAGGCTCATGCCCACAGAAGGCCCTGTGGGGAAGGCACGGCTGCAGGCTGGATGGTTGGAGGTCAGCTGTGGGAGTGAGAGGCAGTTATGGGGATGAACGTGTGGACAGCACATGAACGGGAACCTGATTGGGTGATAGGATGTGTGGACAGCAGCACTGCAGCTGAGCCAGCCAATCAGTGCCCTTCTCCTGTTGAGGTCTGGTTGTGTCAGGGTGAGATTAAAGGTATAAACAGGGAGAGATTTCTACAATAGTTATCTCCTTCCAATGCATAAGGGGGCCCGTGTCTCTTTGTTCCCCATTGCTACACCTCAGGGTTGTGTGAAAGTGTGAATGGGAAATGAGGAGAGTGGGAAGTGAAAGTTTATGTCCCGTGTCTTGCGTGATTGGTGGGTGTAACTGATGAGTGAATGAGATGTACTTCAGCACAAAACAAACAAGGAGCTTCGATCTGCACTTCCGCTTTTCAGGTGACCGAGGTGGGCAGGGAAAAGCAAAGTGTTTGTTGTCTAGCTGAATAAATTTTTAAATAAATGTTTGTGTTGTCTGTATAAGTGTAGTTTTGTATTTAAGTTATGTACTCAGATGTGAACCTTGGGTATGGTGTAAGATCTACCACGAGAGGTGGCATTGCACACCCACACAAAACAGTGCCTGGTGCAAGGACTATGAAAAAGTCGAACTGAGAGCCAGGAATCTGGCATTAATTTTTGTAAAATTTCTGAAGGAAATAGTGTGTGGGAAAACAGCATTTAGGTCCCCAAGCCTGAACAAGGCCCCAGAAGGACTGGAAAAATACGTATGAAAGGAGGAGAGACAGAATTGCTTGGAAGTTAAGAAAGAAGGAAAAGAAAAGGTGTGTGGACTGTGCTGGTGCCTGGATAATGTGAGAAAATGGCACTCAAAACAAACAAGGAGAAAACCCCAAGGGAAAAGGAGAGCAGGGGAACAATGATGGATACACCTCCAGATAGCCTCCTGGGAATAAAATTGGTACAGGGGGAACATAACCCTGATGCAAGAAATAAAAATTAAATCAAAACGATACATTATTATATGAGGAAATAGACTAATCAGGAGATAAGATCTGATCATTCATCATTGATCTGGCCAAAATGAGTTCCTTTGAGGGGTGGATATGCCAAACTTTGAATATTCATGTGAATGCCAAAGAACCAGTCAGTCAGGAAAAAAGTGACTCTGCTGCCACTTGGAAGGGCGAGGCTTCCCTGGGGGAGACCAACATATTTAAATTAAAAGAAATGAAGCCTGGAACCCCTTAGAGTATCTGCCCCCTCCATATCTGCCAGCAACTGATGCACCCCCTGCACCCCCTGATGGACCCAGCCAGAATACCTGGAGCAGAGCATCCAGTGAGAGGAATGGAAAAATGAGATCCAAGCAGTGGCACTAACCCCCTCTGGGAAGTGCCATTGGGAGGGGCACACGGGGAATCAGGTTTGTGACTGTCCCACTTAATTCCACTTAAGTGAGAGCATTTTAAAAGGAATTAAAAGTTCTGCTAGAAGATCCTATCAGGTTAGCAGAACAAGTAGACCAATTTTTGGAACCCAGTGTTTATACCTGGGATGAAGTGCAATCTGTAATAATCAGCCAAGGAAAGACAAATTATCTGAGCAGCAGGGATGTGCATTTGGGAGAGGGAACACGCACCCCATGGGACCCTGGGGAGAAGAAAATGCCCTTGCAATGCCCTAATTGGGATCACCTTAACCCCAGGGGAAGGCAGAACATGGAAGATTATAGAGCATTAATTGTCAGGGGCATTAGGGAGGCTGCTCCAACAACTCAGAACACCCACAAGGCATTTGCTGAACAACAAAAGAAGGATGAGACTCCACCTGAATGGCTGGAGAGGTTAAAAAGAAATACGAGACAATACTCAGGTGCAGACTGATACAAAAGCTGGACAAGCTTTATTGAAGATAAACTTTGTCACTCATGCTGGGCTGGATATAAAGAGAAGCTCAAAAGGGAATGCCAGGATAAGGGGTTGAATGACCTGTTAAAAGAAGCCCAGAAGGTCAGTGTATGGTGGGATGAGGAGAAAGCCACGGGGAAAGGGAAAAGAATGGCAGCCGCTATTGCCGAGGGGAACCAGACGTGCAAGGACCCACCCCCAGAGGGAAGTGAGCCCCTGTCAGGGCAAGGCAAGCAGGAGTAGGGGGAGGATAATGGGAACAGAGCTCCCTGGGGGAGGGACCCTAAAAGGGGAAAGGGCAATTGAACAACCGAGGCCCAATCTGTCAGTAGTGCAGGGAAATTGGGCATTTGAGGTGAAACTGCCCATGGAGGGAAAGGGACCTGATGGTTCTTGAGGAGGCTCAAGAAACGGTCTGCTGCACCCACAGTGCAGGAAAGCTGCCTCATCATCCCCCCAACCCACAACAATGGCCCTGAGTGTCCCCGAGTGTCCTCAGAGTGTCCCTGGTGACATCACCCCAGGAATTCCCATCAGGATTTGGACCAATTTTAATGAAAATTCACAGAAAATTCCCCAAATTTGTATCAAAACCCAAGCGGGGAGGGGAGAAGGGAAAAGTGATACTAGCAATATTGCTGCCCTGATGACATCACGGCAGTGACATCAGTGTTCTTGCAGCAGCATCGGGATGTCCTCAATGGCTTTTTGGCACCACTTGGCCACCATACGGGCAGCAGGACCATCAGGGCTGCAAAGGAAACTGTCCAAGATTATTCTGATTTGCCCAAGTATCTTCCCCAGGTGACACGCAGCCAGGCTGGCGCTGACAACCCACAGCCGCTCAGCCTCAGCCACCCTGGCTGCCAAGGCCACGCGGAAATCAGGGGATGGCAGAGCTAATTCTATGTCCCTGAGCCGGCACTGCAGCTCCTGGGGGAACGCGATGGCTCTGTCACATGTGGCCACCAAGCACTCCAGTGGCCCCAGGGGCGGCTCTGCCTGTGGTTCCCTCCTGATGGCTGTGTCCTCCCCGTTGCTGCAGAGCTCAGTGGCCTCCTCGACCAGCCAGGACCAGCTCTCCAAGAGCGTGTCCACTCACTCCTGCCAGGTGCTGGCCACGACTGCGACATCGGCTCAGGTGGCCTCCAGGTTGGCCTCAAGGCTGGCCACAGCCTGGCCCAGGGGTGCAGCCCTGGGGTGGTGCCAGAGGGCGGCACCACAGTTGCCCAGTAGGACAATGAATTGGCCCAGGGAAATGTCATCAAGGTAGCCCAGGGAGGTGACATCAAAGTGGTCCCAGGAGGTGACACAACACTGATTCAGGGTCACACCAAGGTGATTGATGTACGTCTTCAGGGACGCGTGCAGGCACTTTGGGGACCCATCCAGCAGCATGCCCCTGTTCTGCACAGTAGCGGCAGCCACCACCTCACCCAGGGTGGCCACTGCAGCCACCAGCACCTCCAGTAGCTAGGGAGGGGACAGAGGAGGTGGCAGGGACCTCGTGGCACTTGTGGCCTCCTGTGGTGGCCTCTGTACCCTCGTGGGGTCCCCTTTTGTCCCCTCCGTGGAGGGATCTGCTCTCCCCTCTGCCCCTGTGTCACCCCCTCGTCCCCTCTGCCACCCTTGGTCCCCTCCGCCCCTCAGTCACCTCCCCACTTCCCATCACACCCATCCTCTCCTGCCACATCACCATCCCCTCCCGGCCCCCCCACTTCGGGATTGTCACACCTCGTGGGGCTCCATGGTGGCTGGGGACACTCTGGGCACACGCCAGGTACACTCCGGGAGGCAAATACACTCGCGTGTGCGTTGGGGGCACGCCTGAGAATGGCGCGGCTGGATCGAGACAGGGTGAGGTGACATCACCGCCCAAGCCTGCCCCACCTTTGACTGGTTTTGGGGAGTCCTGAGGAAATTTTGGAGGGTCACAGCTGAGGTTTGGATGGTCCCAGGTGAGATTTGGGTGGTCCCAGCTGAGGTTTGGGGGTCCCACGTGAGAATTGCCAATGATTTGGGGGTTCCCAGGTGAGAACAACTCGGGGGGAGCGGCTGTGGAGGTTTCAGGGAGGGTCCTATGGGTGGGGGAGGGGTGGTGAGGGTGGGGTCCCAGGGAATCTGGGGGGAGGAGGGGGCAGGATGAGCCCCCAGATGTTGACCACGCCCCCTTTTAGGCCCCGCCTCATGTTTCTAGCCCTGTCCCTTGCTGATGGACACGCCCAGCGAGCGCCCCACCCCCTCAGACCCCGCCCCTCCCAATTCCCAGCTCCGCGTTCTGGCCCCGCCCCATCCCAAAGCCTCACCCCAAATGAGACTTGGCAATGCCCCCAGTTGGATTTTTATCAATGGAAACCAAAAATTGCCACAAATCGACCCAAAAATAAAAACCGGGGGGGGTGAGGGGGGCACGGCCACACCTGTGCTGTCACGGGGGAGGGGCCAGGTGGGATTTTGGAGGTCCCAGGTGGATTTTTGGGGGCTTCGAGTGAGTTTGGGTGGGTCCATGTGTTCCTAGGTGGATCCAGGTAGGTTTTTAGGGATTCCAGGTGGGGTTTGGGGAGTTCAGGTGAGTTGGGGGAGGGCAGGTGTTCCTGGGGGCAGTTCAAGGTGTTCCTGGGTGGGTCCAGGTGGGTTTTTGGGTGGGTCCAGGTGTTTTTGGAGGGATCCAAGTGGGTTTTGGGTGGGTCCAGGTGTTTTTTGGGGAGATCCAGGTGTCCTTGAGGGAGGTTCAGGTGTCCTACGGGACATCCAGGTGTCCCTGAGGCATTTCCAGGTGGTTTTAGGGATGTCCCAGGTGTTTTTTTGGGGAATCCAGGTGTTCCTAAGGGCTCCCACTGTGCTCAGGAGGCATCCAGGTGTTCCTGGGAGGGGTCTCAAGTGTCCTGGGGGCAGTTCCAGGTGTTCCTCCATGGATCCAGGCACTTTCAGGGGGATCCAGGTGTCCTGGAGAGATCCAAGGGCCCTTGGGGAGGTTCCAGGTGCTTTTTGGGGCGATCCAGGTGTCCTGGGAAGGACCCAGGTCTTCTGAGGGGATACAGAGGTCTTTGAGGGGTTCCAGGTTCGTTTTGAGGAGGTCCAGGTGTCCAGGGGAGATCCAGGTGTGTCTGGGCAGGGTGCAGGTGCTCAGGTGTGCTGAGAACTGCTGATCCAGGTTTGCAGGAACCCCAACATCTGGGCAGGCTGGGACTCAGGGGTAAGAGATCCAGGTGTGAGGGATCCAGGTGTGGGGGCTCCATGTGTGAGGGATACAGGTATAAGCAGATCCAGGTGTGAGGGTTCCAAGTGCCCAGGTGTGGCTGGGACCCAGTTATCCAGCTGCAACATCACCTCTCCATTCAGGTGTGGTGTCACCTGGTTATGATGTCACCTCTACCTCAGTGTGACATCACCAGCTCACCTAGCTATGACATCACCTGTCCACACCCCCCTCCTACCCAGGTGTGACATGACCTCCACCAGTGTGACATCATCTAGATGTGACCTGGATGCAGGCTCACCTGGGTGTAATGTCACCGTCATGCCCAGCTGTCCCCTCCACCCTCACCTGCCCACCCCACCAGGTATGATGTCACCAACCCCACCAGGTGTAACTCACATGTGACATTACCTGTGCCCAGGTGTGACATCTCTCCCCAGGTGTGACATCCCCTGTGCCCAGATGTGCCAGGTGTCACTCAGGTATCACTCAGGTGTGTCAGGTGTCACTCAGGTGTGACACACCTGTGCCCAGGTGTGCCAGGTGTGCCAGGTGTCACTCAGGTGTCACTCAGGTGTCACTCAGGTGTGCCAGCTGTCCCTGCACAGGTGCCCCGGTGCCTGACGAAGCTGTCCCTCCACATGAAGGTGCGTTCACAGGTACTGCAGGTGTAGGGCCGCAGCCCAGTGTGGGTTTTCATGTGCTCTGTCAGGTGATGTTTCATCTTGAAGCGCTTGCGGCACTGCGCACAGGTGAAGGGTCGCAGGTCCAGGTGCATGTTCACGTGCCGCTCGCGCATGCTGCGGTGCGAGAACGCCTTCCCACAGTGGCACACGAACACCTTGGCCGAGCCGCACGAGCTCACCTTGGCGGCAGGTGAGAGCTGCGAGGGGCCAGGACCCGCCCCCACTGGGCGGGGCGCTCTGCGGGCGGCTCCGGGATTCACCATCCGGGCGGGTCTGGGTGAAATTCCAGAATTTTCATGTGAAATTTTGCCGGTTCTGGTCAAAATCCCCTCGGTTCCATCCGGAATCCTGCTGGTTCTGCTTGAAATCCCAAAATTTTCATGCAGAATCCTGCTGGTTCTGGTCGAAATCCCCAAATTTTCATGTGAAATTCCAGCAGTTCTGGGCAACATTTCTGAGGTTTTGTGTGAAATTCCTCTGATTCCGGTTAAAACTCCCTCATTTTCATGCAAAATTCCACCAGTTTGAATCAAAATTCCCTCGGTTCCATCCCGAATTCTGCTGGTTCTGGTCAAAATTCCTGAATTTTCATGCAAAATTCCACCGATTCCAGTTAAAATTCCCTCATTTTCATGCAAAATTCTGCCAGTCCTGTGCAATATTCCCTCGTTCTCTTGTGAAATTCCAGTTGTTCCGTTCAACATCCCATTTTCATGCGAAATTCCAATTCCGGTCAAAATTTTCTCATTTTCATGCAAAATTGTGTCAGTTCTGTGCACAGTTCCCTCAGTTCTGTGCGGGATCCGCCCAGTTCTCTGCAGGATTCCCTTGTTTTCGTGTGACATTCCCCCAGTTCCTTCGCTTCTGCGTGAAATCCCGCCAGGCCCATGCAAAATTCCCTCATTTTGGTGAGAAATTCCCTCACTTCCGTGCAAAATTCCCTCATTTCCATGTGAAATTCCCTCATTTTCATATAGAATTCCCTCATTTCCATGTGGAATTCCATGGATTTCCTCACTGCCCCAGGCACCTCGGCCTCTCCTGGATCCCATTCCCAAATTTTCCCGGCTATTCCCAGGCCCCATTCCTGGATTTTCCCAATCCCTCCTGGATCCCATTCCCAGATTTTCCTGGGCATTCCCAGGTCCTATTCCTGAATTTTCACAGCCCCTCCCAGGCCCCATTCCTGATTTTCCCGGGCTATTCCCAGATCCCATTCCCGGATTTTCCCGGTTATTCCTGGGTCCCATTCCCAGATTTTCCTGGCCGGGCACCCCCTCCTCTCCCGCGCTCCCTTTCCCACCCTCCCCGCCCTCATTCTCATTGGGAATTCCCAGATTTTCCCGGCACTCCCCCACCATGGGTTCCTCATCCTCCTCGCAGGTGAGCACCAGGTCCTCCTGCAGCCACTGGCGCTTGACCAAAACCCACGGTTTTCGGGGCAGAGCCCGGGCCCCTTCCTCGCTGCCCTCCTCCTCCTCCTCCTCCTCCTCCTCCTCCTCCTCGCTGCCCGCTTTCCCTGCCGGGAGCTCAGGCAGCGGCGCCGGGAGCAGTGCATTGGTGCTGCTGGGGGATTGGCTGTCGCTGGCACGGCTGGAGAGCAGCCGTGAGGAGGAGGAGGAGGATGATGAAGACGACGAGGATGATGAGGACAAGGAGGAAGCGGGCGGCTCGGCAGCGTGGCTCTCCCGCAGCAGCTCGGTGCACTTGTCCACGATGTGCCACATCTGCAGCACGCTGCCCACCGTCAGGAAGCTGAGCAGGTCCCCGCGGGCCATGGACAGGCGCCCAGTGTAGGCGCAGCCCAGCACCAGCGCGAAGGCCGCGGGGTCCATGACGCCGGGCAGCTCGATGGAGTCCAGGTTCTTCAGGAACAGCTGATCGTGGAAGAAGGGCGAGGACGCGGCCAGCACGGCGCGGTGCGCGCGGAACTCGCGGCCCTGCGGGACAGAGCGGGAATTGAGCGGGACAGGAATCCTGCTGGGGAAGGTGAAACAGGGAATCTCATCAATGCGATTGCCTGGCAAAGGATTCTGAGAATATGGAAATGATAACTGAGATGGAAACGAAAGCAAGCTTTGAGATGCCAAATCTTAGTTACTGAACAACTGGAAAACAAGGGCATGGCCGGCTGAAGGTAATCCCCTTTTGATGAAACAATACCCTCTGCTTGCAGACAGCTCCAAGGGTCAGAGCAGACCCTACTGGCTTGGCAGAGGGGGTCCAAAGAGAAGTTTTTAGGGTTTAAAATGTAACATGGTATGGTAATGTCATGATTTCTATAGGCTATATGCAAATGCTATAGGATTTGTGTCTTGTACTGGATTGGTTAGAGAAAATTAGAATATTCAGAAGAGAAGATTTATGGTATTGTAACAGGAACTTCTCTCTCTTTGGGGGATTTGTATCTTGTACTGGATTGGTTTGTGAAAATTAAAATATTCAGCACAGAAGAAGATTTATGGTATTGTAATGGAAACGTCTCTCTCTTTCGGGTCTCTCTTTCGCCCTGCTCGGACCTGTGGCTGGCAGTCCCAAACAGGGCCCCTGCCAATACAAACAGGGCCTATATATAAAAGTTTATTGCCCCTTTGCAATAAACCCGAGTTCCAAGCCCTGGCTTCAGAGATCTCTCGTCTCCGTCCTAACCACCGTCCTCCTACAAAATCCATTCCATATTCAGGTGAGGAGTTCTGAGCCTGTAACGAGCTCATCTATGCTCGTTAAGGCTCATCAAGGCTCCCCGTTCTCGCGAGAAAAATCAAAAACTTGTGCTGGCAGAATCGCCTCGGCCAAGAGGAGGAATTCAAAAATTCAAACTGCCAAGATAAGCAGAGAGAAGGTTCAAAAACTCAAACTGAGAAGAAATTAAAAAATTCAAACTCCCAAGATAAGCAGAGAGAAGGAATTTGAAAATTCAAACTCACAAGGTAAGCAGAGAGAAGGAATTCAGGAATTTGAACTCCCAAGATAAATGGAGAGAAGGAATTAAAAAATTCAAACTCCCAAGATAAGCAGAGAGAAGGAATTCAATGATTCGAACTGAGAAGGAATTCAAAAATTCAAACTGAGAAGGAATTAAAAAATTCAAACTCCCAAGATAAGCTGAGAGAAGGAATTGAAAAACTCAAACTGAGAATGAATTTGAAAATTCAAACTCCCAAGATAAATGGAGAGAAGGACTTCAAAAATTCAAACTCCCAAGAAAAGCGGGGAACCCTTTGTGAGGGGCAAAGGCTGAGGCTGACTGAGAGCTCTCTGCACAAAGGGCAAGGACTGAAAAAACTAATAAAAACTGCTAAAAACTCATTGCAACTTGTGAAACCAGTAAAATGAATATGCATGAAACTCTCTACATATGCATAAACAAAGGGGATATCGGCGCTACAATGCCCGACATCTGGGAAGAATAGTGCACAGAACTCCATGATATCAGAAGGCTAATAAATTATTTTCTTATACTATATTATACTATAGCTATATTACACTATATTTACTAACAAGAACTATCACTCACTAACTAGAAAAACCCATGATTCTCTGCCAAGAGTCCCAACACAGCTGTGGATCCAATTGGTCCATGAATCCAAACAACCATCACCAGAATCCAATCCAGCAATCACCTTGGGTAAACAATCTCCAGACTGCATTCTACATGGGCACAACAACGAGCAGCAGCAATTGAGATAAGAATTCTTTTGATTCTCTTTTCTCTGCTTCTCTCACAGCTTCTCTCAGGAGAAATACTGAGAAAGACAAGTCTCACTCTGTTCAGAGGATATGTGAATGCCACACTCCCCCCTTCAAAGGACATGCACAACTCTGAGAATTCCCAAACCCATTTATCTCCCTGTGGCAGGCTTCTGCCTGCCCCCTTGGTGCGGCGGGCAGCGGCTCCCGAGAGTGGTGGGAGGGTGCGGGCAGCGGGAGAGAACCGCAGTGCTGATCCGTGGCTCAGCCGTGTGGTGTGGAGGAGTCCCTGCCGCTGCCAGCAGCAGTTTTAAAAGCAGCACAGGCTGCTGCTGCTCTGCAGGGCTGAAATCTAGGTGCTTTCGCTTCTCAACTGCGGTTTTTGGAAATTGGTAGTGAATTTGGTTTTGTTCTTGGTCGGCGTGAGGTTGTACTGTGCATTTTACATCTAAAATGGGGGCAAAGCTAAGCACGACACAGAAAGAAGTATATTATCAGATTATAGGATTTTTAGTTAGTGGAAATGTATCATTTTCCAAGGGAAAATTGAAACAGTTTATACAGTGGCTTTTTCTACACTTCCCACAAGTTTCTCCTGAATGAGTCCACAATACGCACTTTTGGGACACGGTGGGTCACAAATTGATAACCTTGGGAAGGTCTGGGGACACGTCTTCAGCTAAATTTGTGTTTTGGAGTTTGCAGGTTAGATCAGCTTTACTTAAACAAAGGGAAGTGAAGGAAAAGCCAAATAACAAGGAATGTACCTCTGCTCTTCCTTTTTCTCCCCACCCCAGTCCTGAACCCTCTACCCCAAAACTCGGTATCTTAAGGAGAGCAGACTCTGCTCATGCCCAGGGAAACCAGCTACCTCAGCATCTTAAAGTGCCTGAGTCCCACTGTCCACAAAGTCCTGACCAGACTGCATGGAATTCTCCCCGATCTCCTGTCTCCCCAGCTCAGAAACCCTGAGCACGTGTTAGTTTTTCGGAGAGCAGTGACCACCAAAATGGCTCCCAGTCCCCAGAGTGCCAACAAAATGGAGGATACCAAGTGGCACTGTGCCCTACCTGGTCTCCTTCCCATGATTCCCCTCAGCATCCCAAGAATCCTTTTTTTCCCCTCACCCCCCATCTTCATAAGACCTTCCCTCCCCTCACCTTACCTGCCACTCCCTCAGCTCCACCCCCCTACCCCCCCAGGGGGCATCTGATGTCCCCAAGCATCCCTGCCCCCTGCCAACCCCCTGTCCCTGCTCCCTGTTCCTACGGTGGGGGCACGCCCATTGCTTGTCCCTGTAGCTGCACCAGTGATCCCAATGCTTCCAATTCAAAAGATAAGGAGCAGGGAACCGCAGACCCAATACAGGGTCCCAATTTTCACTCATCCCTGTCACATATCAGCATGCAGAGCAAGGGGGAGGAGCCACAACTGCTAATTGGAAAGCTTTTGCACAGCAAATAATAAAAGAGATCTGCAAAACACACCAACAGTATGGACCGCAGAGCCCCTACTTCTGCTACCTTTTAAAGGCCAAACTGGGTAGGACTGTACTAGTCCCACATGATTTAAAACAGCTTTTTTTTGTGCCTCATGACCTCTACAGAATTCAAACTATGAGAAGTGCATGGAAACAACTGATGAAAGAGGCTCTCTCAGACTTGCATGCTGATCCAAACACAGCAAAGCATGCCAATTGCATGCCAGTTACCATTGGGCATCTCTCCATTGAAGGCCAATGGTCTTTGGCCCCAGTCCAAGCTGCAGTAATCCCTGTGGTAGTCCTTGAGAGAGTCAAAGAGGCAGCTGAAAAAGCATTCTTCACCCTTCAACCTGATGGCCCTCTTGAGCCATACAGTAAGATCAAACAGCTACCATCAAAGCCTTTTTAGAAATTCGTGGAAAGGTTAACTAGAGCTATTGAAATTCAAGTTAAGAGAATGCAAGGGAAGAGGTTCTAGAAGAAATGGCATTTGCAAACGTGAATGAACAGTGTCAAGCTGCAATTTTAAGCTTACCTTTAGAATCCCACCCCCATACTAAAAGATATGCTTCTAGTTTGTAACAGGAAAGTGCTTCTGATGAGTGTGGCTCAGGACACTGGACCAGTGCTGCTGCCAAAACCACACAGTCACTGTTGCTAGCCCAGCACTCATTCCATCAGCACAGCGGTACACTGGTCTGCAGTGAAGATCAGCAATGGTTGACCCCACAAAGCCATGCCTGCTTTTTAAGAACCTTGGGTACTGGGTTAACCCAGGGGTGGAGAACTACAAGGGCTCCGAGGGGGTCATCATCAACAACAAAAAAACTAAATGGGGAGCGCCAGCCTGCCAGGTGCACAGACACAAAAAGAGCAGGCCAAGGGAATGAGGGAAGTGAAAAAGACCAAGCGCGCAGTAACACCCCAATTTCTCTAAGTGAAGCAGATGCTTCAAAGACCACTTCTGCTGGTCCACCACTGGATGTGACACCAAATAACCTTTGCTATGACTTAGGCAAACCGATTCTAACCACAGCTTCTATCAATGAGCCTTTCAGGTTGCAGCTGACAGAACCACTCCACTTGAAAGATACTGACTGGCATTTTGTCTCCGTGAACCCACAACAGCAGGGTACTTGGCACCAAATTCGCTGTAAGTACAAAGTCATTGGGGACACCAAACACACACCACAAGAGATTGAAATTGCTCCAGGAATGATAACATCAGATCCTGAGCAATTTGTTCTCTGGCTGCACTGTTTCCACCCACCCATTTCTTCCCAAAGGATAAATCGTAGCACAAGCTATCCTGGTGCCGAGTCTATCTGAAGGCACTGAAAGACAAGGGCCCACAGTCGCCACGTCCAAGCTATTGGGAAGGATAAACCCAAAATCTGGTGTAATGGTAGAGGGGGTGGGGAGTCAAAATGCATTGAGATGCTCATAGACACAGGCGTGGACTGCACAGTGATCCCAGCACAGGACTGGCCAGCGCACTGGCCTTTGCAAAATGTGGCTGGTCACATTTGAGGTATAGGGGGCATGCAATTGGCAAGACAATCTAGGAGCATCATCCAAATCGAGGGGCCAAATGGACAATTGGCAAATCTACGTCTGTTTGTGTTAGATTATCCAGAGCCCTTGCTGGGGAGACCTAATGGCCCAATGAGGAGTCACAATTGACATTCCAGACTCTCCACAGGATTTTTGGGCAGCAGTCACTAAGAAGCGGCCTACTCAAAAATTGAATTGGAAGACAGATTCACC